TGCGGTCAGAGTGGGATGAAGGAAGGTGGGAATACCGGGAAGGAGGTCAGAGACATAGCCTGAGGTCAGTTGACATAGACTCTAGCTCAGGTTACCTTCATGTGCGGATGAGCTGGAGCCCAGGCTCCTTCTGAGCACTAAGTACCAGCCACTCTGGTTAGGCTAGCCCAGAGTTCAGAAGACTATGGCCAAAAACAGATGGGACTTCTGCAGTGATCTGAAGTGTAGGCTGGATTCTGGTTGCAGCCACAGTAAGCAGTTCATACAGAGAACCAGAGGTTCAAAATCAGGCTCATGTAGAGAACCAGGTTCAAAACCTGAGGTAGAATCCAGGGATGTGGCTCGGGAAGCCAGTAGGGTGTGGGTGGACCCACGGCCTGGAAGCAGTGTAAAACCAGGGCAGCTCCTGGGGCCCCAAACCAGTCACTGCAGCAGGCCTGTCCCAGGGAAGCAAAGGGCCTGTCCTCTAGCAGGGCTGTGCTTGGAGTCTAGGGACCCTACCCGCTTTGGTTGCTATTGCAGAGCCACAGAATGAGAGGAAGAGCCTCTCATCAGAACCTCAAGGCACAGGCCAGGCACAGTGGCTCACACCTGTAATCCCAGCACTTTGGGAGGCTGAGGCAGGTGAATCACTTGAGGTCAGGCTTCAAGACCAGACGGGCAACATGGTGAAACCTTGTCTCTATTGAAAATACAGAAATCAGCCAGATGTGGGGGCGGGTGCCTGTAATCCCAGTTACGTGAGAGGCTGAGGCACTGAGAATCGCTTAAACCCAGGAGGCAGAGGTTTCAGTGAGCCGAGACTGTGCCACTGCACTCCAGCCTGGGTGACAGAGCAAGGCTCTGTTACAAAAAAAAAAAAAAAAAAAAAGAGTCTCACAACACAATCTGGCCTAACCTGATGAAAGAAATTAGGGGAACTAAAGGAGGGGTGGTGTCTGCTCAGGATCACTTGCTGAGTCTCTGTTCCTGGAATTCTAGCCCAAGCTCTCTGCTTTGGACTCCATGTCTTCAGCCTTCCAGTCTGTGTGGGCTTTTCCAGGCAGGATTATTTGTAATGTCTTCATTCTCCCGTCCTAGTAGGGCTCAGCAGATCCAGAATACATGTGCCCCAGTTCCTTCTGGAGGACCAGGGGCACACAGAAGCCCCAGTTAGGCTCCCGAGGCCTGGCACAGACCACCCACCATGGCCAGCTTATCCTGGTGACCTACTGCCATGAAGACTGAGAAGGGTCTCGGGAATTAATTAGGCAGATGAGCATTCTGGACTTGGTGTAATACCCCTTGCTCTGCTACAGAAATTTTATTGTGGGTGATGCTTTACAGTTTGCAGACCTTTCAAAACAAAACTGAGGTATATCCCATACCATAAAATGTATCCTTTTGATATGGTTTGGCTCTGCGTCCTTATCCAAATCTCATCTTGTAGCTCCCATAACTCCCACATGTTGTGGGAGGGACCTGGTGGGAGACGAATGAATCACTGAATCTTGGGGGCAGGTCTTTCCCATGCTGTCCTCATGATAGTGAATGAGTCTCATGAAATCCGATGGTTTTAAAAATGGGAGTTTCTCTGCACAAGCTCTCTCTTTGCCTACTGCCATCCATGTAAGATGTAACTTGCTCCTCCTTACTTTCTGATTGTGAGCCCTCCTCAGCCACGTGAAACTGTAAGTCAGTTAAACCTCCTTCTTTTGTAAATTGCCCAGTCTCAGGTATGTCTTTATCAGCAGTGTAAAAACAGACTAATATACCTTTTGAAATGTACAATTGAGTGGTTTTAGGTATAGTCACAGGGTTGTACAACCATCACTACTATCTAATTTCAGAGTATTCTTCCCACTCACAAAAGGAACGTTGTACCCTTTTGTAGTCACTTTCCTTTTCCACTTCTCCCCTGCCCCTGGCAACCACTAATCTACTTTGTCTCTATGGATTTGCATTCTGGATATTTCATAGAAATAAAATGCTACAATGTGTGGCTTTTTTTGTGTGTCCTGCTTACAGCATGAATCAGTACTTCACTCCTTTTAATGGCTGAATAATGTTCCATTGTATGGACATGACACATTTTGTTTGTCAGTTGATTAGTTGATGAACATTTAGGTTGTTTATAATTCTTGGCTATTATGAATAATGCCACTGTGAACATTTATGTACAAGTTTTTGTGTGGACATATGTTTTCAATTATCTTGGTTGCAATTGCCAGGTCATAGGCTAACTGTGTGTTTAACTTTTTGAGAAACTGTTGAACTGTTTTCCATGATGGCTATATCATTTTACATCTCCATCAGCAATGAGAGTTCCAGTTTCTCCATATCCTCACCAACATTTCTCATTGTCTATCTTTTTTATTATAGCTATACTGGTGGGTGTGAAGTAGTATCTCACTGTGGTTTTTAGTTGCCTTTCTTTAATAACTAATTATGTTGAGCATCCCTTTATTTGATTATTGTGCATTTGTTTAATTTGTTATCTCCATTGAATAAATACTTATTCAGATTATTTGCTTATTATTTAATTGGGTTATTTGTCTTTTATTGTTGCATTGTAAGAGTTCTTTATATATCCTGAATTATCTTATCAGATGTATGATTTGCAAATAGTTTTGCCTATTCCATGAGTTGTCTTTTTACTTTCTTGATAGTGTCCTTTGAAGTACAAAATTTCAAATTTTGATCAAGTCTAATTTACCTATTTTTTCTTTTGTTGTTTATGCTTTGTGGTGTCTTATCTAATAAACCATTGCCTACTCTAAGGTCATAAAGGTTTGTGTCTGTTTTCTTCTTAGAGTTTTGTAGTTTTAGCTCTTACATTTATGCCTTTGATCCATTTCGAGGCAATTTTGTATATGGTGTGAGGTAGGGGTCCAAAAGCATTCTTTTTTATATGGTTATCCAGTTATCCTAGTGTCATTTGTTAAAAAGTCTACTCTTTCCCCCATTGAGTTGTCTTGGCACCCTTGTAAAAATTCAGTTAACTCACACACATTTTTAAAGATGTTGGTTCTACACTTCATTATGAATTAACTTTTTGGGATTAAAATTACTCTATGGCCTCACAGGGCCAGCATGTAGAACAGACTCTGGCACAGAGTAGATGCATAATAAGTGCTGACTTTAGTCAAATGGAATAAGCCTAGGAAATAGACACATTCACTCTTTGAGCCTCTGCTGTGTTCAGCAGAACCCCTGGGATGGAGATAAGTTATTTTCTGTCTGGCCCCTGCTCTGCCAGTAACCCTGTTGAGCATAACCATTTCTACAAAACACATATCTGATTTATCTTGTAGTTTTGATTCTGTGTCTGCCTCCTGGGGACTCAGCAAGCAAGCAAGCCTTAGCTCCTCTTTAGACCTGAGGAATTTACCTGGAAGCTCTGATCTACATCCTTGGTAGGGATGCAGAGTGCTGTGGGCTGGTGTGTATTTCTCCCTGCGGGCTACTGGGGTGGCCTTTTATGTGCAACCCTGTATGTACACGGGTGCTTTCCAGCATTCCCAGACCTTGCCTTGACAAAACAATGTGACAACATTAAAGATATATGCTTGGGAAGTAAAATGTGCTGGTACTTCCATTCCCCAGAACACGTGTTTTCATTCTGGCATGTCCTTTCTAGTCCTTTGCCACATACAGACATGTTTTCTTGCATTTGCCAGTACAGTGCAAATACAATTTTGTGGCTTCCTTTTTTACGTTGTTTTATAAATATTTTCCATATCTTTACATGGCCTTCGTATTACACATTTGTAAGACTTCATTGTGTTGATATGCCAATCCCTTCCTGTTGAATATTTAGACTGCTCCCTCCCCAGCTTTTAAGAAAATAGAGTTTTAAAAAAACAAAAATGGAAACAAAGCACATCTCACTTGTCGTAACCACGGTTCCTATTCAGACACAACCTGCAAGCCTTGGTGGTTACAGGCTGACCAGACCCCAAATGACTGGAGACTGGCTAAACAGATTCTGAGAAAAATATGTATAAAAGTGAACTGAGACCTCGGTGTCTCCATGAAATACGAGATTAATCAGTTTGCATGTGTGGCCTAAACTCTTCCAACTCCTAGTAAAGTAATCAGGGTCATTGGTAGTTAAGTTAGTGAATCAGGAGACTCTGAGCTGCATGGAAAAGGAGGAAACTTTTGGCCAGTAGCAAACTAGAGTCAGAAAAGGAGAGGCCGGAGAGGTCAGCGAGTAACATTCTAACAGGGAGGAAAACGTTGCCAACAATTTTGCCTGGTATCTCAGAATGGTCATTTGGTGCTTTGGAGAAACACTTAAATGACACAGAAGTTTCCATGTAGTTGCATCCTGATTATCAACCAACCCTCTGTGCAGACCAGGGGCCCAGGTCCTGGAGAAATCCAGCCAGGAGAAAGAAGGCGCCTCCCTGTTTCCAGGGTGTTCTTCTGGAGGCCAAGGGAGCAAGAACACACAGGGAAGATGCCGTGGGCCGGAGAGTGAAGCGCACTTGTCTCCCTGTGACTTCTTTATCTTCAAGCCCCCTACGTCCCGCTAAGCTCTGCAGGGTCTGGGGGAAGCTGGGGCAGCCCCAGAGCCACCATTGTGCCCGTGCAATTAAACAAGAATGCTCCGACTTGACAGTTCCACTGTGAAAGTTTTCAAATAGTGTTTGGAATGTTTACATAATTGTTGAAAAGAGGCTTTTTCAATGTACCTGTTTACACTCTTTCCTTTTGGAAATTCTTTCAGCAATCAGGCCGTGGAGGGCTCTCAGGCTGCACTTGCCGCCCTTGATTGCGGAGGGAGGAATGAAAGGCCCGTCAGTGAATCGCTGGGAAAACATTCCCTAACAAACGCCCTCTAATGAGGGGGCGCCGCTTTCGCTGCCGCGGCGGCGGTGGAGGGGGCGCGGGGAGTGGAGGGACAGGGGCGCGGGCCCGGGGGGAGGCCAGGCCGGGTTTTGTGGCGGCGCTCCCGGTTGGAGGGAGCGAGGACCCCGGGTCTTTGTGTGCAAATTTCCCACCGGGACCAAGCAACTTTCCACAATTTAATTAAGTGGCTTTAGAGTCCGGAGTTGGCCTAACAAGCCCCTGTTATGAATGAAAGATTTGTCCGCAACAGCGGGGGCCGGCTGGAAACAAAGTGGGCCGCAGTTAGCCTGGATCCGGCCGGTTTCTCGGCTCCGCGGCCAGCCCCAGCCGCCCGGGAGCAGGAGAAGGCGGCTGCGGGGGCTGGCAGCGGTCCTTCTGGGACGCGTCTCACCTAGCTCGCAGCAAATATGCCATCCATATGCCCAGGATCACAACCGAATCAGCTCCATCAGGCCTGGCAAAGATGCATTTAAATTGCTAATATTGCACTCGGAAGCGACGACAGAACTGCCTGGGCTCAGCTCTGTAGGATCCACAGAGACAAACCGGGGGTGGGGGTGGGGTGAGTTGGGGAGGGGTTCGGAAACAGCCCAAGTGAGAATCTCTAGAAGCTGGCTATTAGGAGGCGCGAGAAGTGGGGATCCTTGGTAGAGTGATGCCAAAAGAAACCGTGGCAGAAATGCTCCCAGGATGGAGCGCTGGGGCTGGTAGGCCACTCGGGCCCCTTTCTCATCCATTATTTCTGAAGAGACGCCGGCTGGAGTTTCTACAAAGGTTGCTCTGCTCCAGGGAGGCATCCCCCCACTCCCCAGCACTCTTACCTTTGAACAAGACAGGTTTTCTAGAAAGACAAAAAATATTGGCTGGTTGGAAGAAGGGAGGGGCCAGCTGCCGCTGTGATATGTTTCTCGGTTACAGTGGTTGAGTGTCCCTGCCCTTGGCGGTGGTCTGTCAAGCAGGTTTGGGATCGGGGGTCTTTTGCAGTCACTTTCCGGTGGAGGGTTCAATGAGTGTTTTTCTCTGACTGTATTTTTAGAAAAAATTATGATGACAGTTGTTAGGTCCCAGGCAGGCAGGCAGGCAGCACATTCCATTACAAAGTTAGCATGAAATCAATATGTAAATAACCCTTTCTAACTGGCAGCTATTTTTGAAGGCAGAACGCACCGGATGTTGCAGGTTTGTTCCAGTTCACTTTAAATACCTCTCTGTCCTCAGAGTCTGTGAATGTGCTCACATTCAGAAGAGCCTTTCGCCCTTTTCACTTGGTCTTTGCAGCGTCCCTGATAGCGGTAATGCCACCATGAGCTTTGTCCTCAAATCTCCTCCTCCATCATTTAAAAATCAGATTGACAAGACCTGCTCCGGGCTGGGAGTGTTAGTTCCCCTTCGGCATGGCCATTTTTCAAAAGCACGGGTTGCTCCAGGAAGGGTAGAGGCGGCAGAAGCCGCGGCCATCCGAGGAAAGAATTAAAGGAGAGAGAAAGACCGAGAGGCTGCGATCAGGGTTGAATCAGAGATTCAGACAGTTACTGCCAAAATGCATAGAAGTCATTGCCAGGACATAAAAGGTCAGAGGATACCAGCCGTGAGAAGAACCAGGTTAGAACCGTGACTGCAGCTGAGCAGGAAGAAACAGGTCTCAAGGTACTCCTGAGTGAGCAAGGGCCTGAGACCGAAGGTCTTTGCATAGTTCCTTGTCAGTAGTGACAGTTTTCATTGTTGTTTAATTTTGAAACTAGCTGTTCTATGTGTATCTGCATTAAAACAGAAATACTTCTAGAATGTTTTACGTCAGGCATGGACGGTGCCACAATGTCTGGTGTGACATATGGGGTGTGTGTATGTGTACATGTGTGTATTTGTTTTCTGAATTCAAAAGGGCGATGAAGTTCAAACTGGGGCCTAATAGTAATGATTCCTACAGTTACTACTGTTCTGTGAGTTGTTACGTACTTGCAGTTTTAGAGTCTTTTTTAAATCATTGAGTTGAAATCTGCTTTGCTGTAACTTATATCCTATGGACTTAGACCCAGAATAAGGCTTCCTCTGCCACAGAATCATCTTCAAGACAGGTGGTGTCTCATTCAGAGATTTCTCTACTCCAAGATAAATAGTTCTTGTTCTTCAGAGATGGAGTCCCCTCCCACAAGGAGACTCCTTCGGGTCCATGTGTTGCCTCCATGTTCTTGCCATTTAGTGCATCTTTGGAATAAACCAGGAACAGATATTCCTCTTGAGGATTTTTAGTGTGATTTAACTGCAAAAGGACATCTCTCTGCAGGAGAAGATGCATTTGGAGTGAGGCTTTAACCCTCCCAGTGCACAGAGCTCTGTCTTTTATTGCATGAAGGTGGTCAGATGAGGTAGAAATTTGACCTGTTCTCTCTGGGCTGGGAAGGCAGAGTTATGATCACTGAGGAAGGGGAAATATTACAGGGAAGTCATATTTCAGCTTAAAGGTGGCGTGAAGAAGAATTTTCTAATGAAGAAGAAATGACATGCTTTAAGAGGTAGTGAGTGTCCTACAACCTGGAAGGATTCAGGCTGGGTAGAGGGTTTCACCAAAGGCAGCTTGCAACTCTGGATCTGGTCATCTATTTGCTTACACATTTATTGATGCATGCTAGATACAAGGTGCCATTCCAGGCTCTGAGAGGTTTCATCACAGAAGTTAATAGAGAAGGAACTAATTTTTTTTTTAGATGGGGATAAAATACACATAACAAAATTTATCATCTTAACCATTTTAAATATACAGTTCAGTGGTATTATGTTCACATTGTTGTGCAGACATCACCACTACCCATAGAACTCCTTTCATTTTGCAAAACTGAAACTCTGTATCCATTAAACACCTTCCCATTTCTCCCTATCCTCAGCTCCTGGCAACTACCATTCTATTTTCTGTCTATAAATTTGACTACTCTAGGTGCCTCATATAAGTGGAATATGAGGAATTACACAGTATTTGTCCTTTTGTGACTGCCTTATTTGACTTGGTAAATGCCCTCAAGGTTCATCCATGTTGTAGCATGTAGAATTGCCTTCCTTTTCAAGACTAATTCATGATCCGTTGTATGTATATATACTACGTGTTGCTTATCCACTCATCTGTTAATGGACACTTGCGTTGCTTCTACTTTTTGGCTACCGAGAATCAGGCTGTTGTGAATATGGATGTGCAGATATATATGTGCAAGACTCTGCTTTCTATTCTTTTGTGTATGTACCCAGAAGTGGAATTACTGATCACATGATAATTCCTGTTAAATTTTCTGAGGAACCAGTATATTGTCTTCTGTAGGAGCTTCATCATTTTACATTTCCACCAACAGTGCAAATTCTCTCTACATTCTCACCAACACTTGTTATTTTCTGGAATTTTTTGACAGTCACTATTCTAATGTGTGTGAGGTGGTATCTTAGTGTGGTTTTGATTTGCATCTCTCTAATGACTAGTGATGTTGAGCATCCTTTCATGTGCTTATTGGCCATTTGTGTATCTTCTTTAGAGAAATGTTTAGTCAAGTCCTTTGCCCATTTTTTAATCAGGTTGAGTTTTTTGTTGTGGTTTAGTTATATATTCTGGATATTAACTCCTTAGAGATATAATGTGCAAATATTTTTTCCCATTCTGTGTACTATCTTTTTACTCTATTGGTTGTGTCCTTTGATGCACAGGAGTTTTACATTTTGATGAAGTTCAATTTATTTATGTTTCTTTTGTTGCCTGTGCTTTGGCATCATAGTGAAGAAATAATTGCCATAGCTTATGTCATAAAGCTTTTCCCTTGTGTTTCTTTCTAAGAGTTTCATAGTTTTAGCTTTTACATTTAGGTTTTGGGTCCATTCTGAGTTAATTTTTGTATATGATGTAAAGGGTCCAACTTCATTTTCTTGTATGCAGATATCCAATGCAAGATACTCATAATCATTTGTTGAAAAAACTGTTCTTTTCCCATTGAATGGTCTTGATGCCCTTGCTGAAAATCATTTGACAATATATGTGAGGGTTTATTTCTGGGCTCTCTATTCCCTGGGCTAATATGTCTAACTTTATGCCAGTACCACATTATTTTGAACTATAGCTTTGCAGTAAGTTTTGAAGTCAGGAAGTGTGAGATCTCCAAGTTTGTTCTTCTTTTCCAAGATTGTTTCGGTTATTTGGGGTCTCTTGACATTCCATATGAATTTTAGGAAAGAAAAACTAACATTTACTGACTATATATGATCTCCTAAGTGCTGGCCATGCAAATAGGATGTAAGGAAGAAGTAAGCTTTGTTTTCTAAAAGTGCAATCTTGTAAGAAAAGATAAGACATAACAAATACATGTAAAGCAGAAGTGAACAGGTGCTTTATGCACCTACATATTATGAAAGAAGGGAAGGGAGGAGAAACTGGAGACAGTTCCAGACTACTTTTAGAAAGAAAAGTTATGGTGGAATCTTTGATTTATGGATTGTTAAAGCTGTCACAATGTTTTTCCTCAATGTGGAGAAGCGAACTATGCTGAGATAGCCAATCTTTGTCTTTTGGTTGCTCTTTTCTCATCCTTTCTTTTTTCTATCACTTTTCCTTTTTTTTTTTTTTTTTTTTTTTTTTTTTGAGACAGAGTCTCACTCTGTCACCCAGGCTGGAGTGCAGTGGTGCGATCTTGGCTCACTGCAACCTCTACCTCCCAGGTTCAAGCAATTCTCCTGCTTCAGCCTCCCAAGTAGCTGGGACTACAGGCATGCACCACCATGCCCCGTTTTGTGTGTGTGTGTGTGTGTGTACCATGTTTGCTAGGCTGGTCTCCAATTCCTGACCTCAGGTGATCCACCCGCCTCAGCCTCCCAAAGTGCTGTGATTATAGGTGTGAGCCACTGCGCTCGACCTCTCCCCCTTTCTTAACCTATCGGCTCCTGACTGTCCCTAATGACATTTAATTCAGTCAACAGGTATTATTACATACTATCTGCTAGATACTGACTGGGATACAGTGAGTAAAACAGACCCAACCTCTGGCTCATGGAGGTTACACCTAGAGGGAGACACAAACGTCAGATACTTGTATGAGTATATATAATTATGGACTGATACACGCAATGAAGGGAAAGTTCAGGAAACTATCAGAACATATCATGAGGGAACTGACTTAGTTGGAGAGGAAGTGTCAGGGACAGCTTTTCCAAAGGAGTGACATTTGAGCTGAGATGGAAAAGATGAGTAGGAGCAGGCTTGGTGAAGGGGCTGCAGGGAAGTGTACCAGGCAGAGAGGAGGAGCATCAGCTAAAACCTCAAAACAGATGAATGAAATCTAATTTTAATGTTAAACCAAATAAATAGCCAAGTAAGCATTGGTCTTCAAATCCATCCTCTGTTTCCAAAAATTACCTAGGACTCAGGAAAGTTGAGGAATTTATTCACTGAAGTGCTCAAATGTTGTTATATGTGGGATTTAAACAGAAACATGTCATTGCTGCCATTTGAATGAATGTCACAAAAAGGTTTAGGCAAAACTATCCACGTTTCGATAGCCTACTTAGCATTGCGTGGGGTCATAAACTTGCCACAAGGAAAATCTGACTAGGCTGATGAGTGCTGTTCAGTGTATAGGTTCAGAGTCTTCCTCAACTAAGGAACAGGGGTAATTGATCCCATAGTCCTTTCAGCTCTATGAGTGTCTCTAATAGTAATCATTAAAAACACTAAGTATATCAGGAGTGGTTTAAATATCCAAAACTATTTTATCTGTATTAGAAGAACAGAAATGGCTCTTCAAAAATAAGCCAATGGCTAAGCTCATCATGGTCATCAACTCAATGGAATATTATATAGCCATTAAAAATAATAATTTTGACAAAAACATAAAATGTGGAAAAATACCTGTAGAATAATAGCAAATGAAAAAAGAAACACAGGCAAAATTGTATGTACATAATGACTACAATAATGAACTGGAATGGTAAATATATAAATGGGAAATCATTGTTAGGAAGAGAGATGATGGACATGTAAGCTTTTCTTTTTGTAAGTGTTAATGTTATTCCATTTTATATTTATATTTAAAAATGTTGAGCTTTTTAAAATTAAGAATTTTCCTGGAGACAAAAGACTAAATACCAGCATATTTCTAAGCTTAACCAGTAGCATTTTGGAACCCCTAATGGGAACAATCACTATTAATTATGTGACCAAACCAGTAAGTTGGGAAAAGTTGTCATAACTAGAATATTGGTAGGAATCAAATATGTGAATATTTCTTTTGAGGGTTGGAAAGTCTGAATAGTTTTATGACAGGACACAGTAGTACTAATCCTACTAATTTTGGTTACAGTTGGCTTTTTTTATATTTAAAATTATTCCTAATGTAGTTATTTTCAATATTTTAAATTTCTAATAACATAAAATTTATGTGTGTATACATAAGTGCATTTCTAAGTGCAAAGTTTAGTAGTGTTCAGTATATTCACCTTGTTGGGCAGTGGATCTCCAGAAGTTTTTCATCTTATAAGACTAAAACTCTTAAACAACTCATTTCCCTTTTTACCCAGCTCTTGGCAACCACCATTTTACTTTCTGTTGCCATGAATCTGACTACTTTAGCTACCTCATATAAATGGAATTATACAGC